ATTTGGACTACATGATATAGTCTTTACTTTTTCATTTTTATTGACTTTCTATTCCTTTGTTGTTATTTATCCTATTTGTTAACAAGAGAGGCTTAATATTCTTGTATTAATTACCAGCCTGTGGATTCATCTTGAGAGTTTTAAACTGTAACTTCTTTCAGGTTTAGCAGAAACAAAACTGAAGTTATTATCTTTGTACCTTAAGAACAATTATTTAGTCAATTATTACAGCTGGAAACCAGCAGTCAGGCCCAAAGTGATGGACTCAGACCTGAACCTTCAGGTCACATAAAGACAGTTACAAAGCCAGCCTTCTATCACCTGAGGATCAATAAGACAATTGATGGAATACCCAACAGAATCTTTAGTTTTACATCATTGATGTGAGATGTGCGTCATAATTCTGCACTAGAAGAAGACAGACAGTAAATCTGGATGTAAACTAAAAGCTGTTAGTCATGTTTTCTCCTTCCTTTCTCTTATCATGATTCTGAAACGATATTTTTGTCTCCTGTTGCTCAACAACATTAAAACTGATCCATTAATACTCCTGTAAAAAAAGCTCTGCTGTTTGACATCGACATTCTTCTTCTGCATATTCATCGGTGGTGTAAACTGATCACACAGTCTGATTGATTGATTATTGGCATGAATGACCAAATAAAATCAGATTTCAGCAAATTAAAATCAGTCGATCTTCTTCTCTGTCACATAATGAATTAGAAAACTGATAAACTAAAAGATGAACATGAAATCTGCCATTTATGAAGCGTTTGGGGTTAAAGGTCAGATTAGAGGTTTTATCAAAGAGACGTTCAGTTTCGCCGCTTTGAATAGCAGGTCTTATTATTTTGACACATTATTTTTTATTTTTAAGAATTTTATTTCTAAACATTTTGACCTTTTTATAACAGAATGATTCATAAGAAATGTATCTGATAACACTGGAAACATTCCTCTGAAAACAGAAACATGTTGGACTGAAACTGAGTTAAAAAGTTTCTTAAAAAGGTTTTCAGAAACAGAAAGCATAAAAAGGTGTCGATAAAAACATTTTAATGTGTCAGAATAAATTCAGGCTTTTTGGAATCAAAATATCAAGAAATGAAGTTTAAACCTGAACTTTCTGGAATGTTTATTTTCATGCATGAAAAGTTTCTGCATGTTTTCTGTTGGGAGCAGCTGAGTGATTAGCATGTGACTGGATGCTAACGAGGTTAGCACACATGCTAACGAGGTTAGCACACATGCTAACGAGGTTAGCACACATGCTGGTGGGGGTTGAAACATTCAGCTAAACATCCACAGAAGAAGAACAACATTAACTGACCAAAGTACTTCACAGCAATGACAACATGACAAGAAATAAAATTAAGTTTGATCAAATAAAATGGCAGTAAAATACAAAACTAATCATAAAAATAAAAATAAAGACATAGTCTATTTTTGTTGCAGCAAAACATACTAATTTTCCGTTTTTTCCAGCCAAAGATGAAACAAAAAGAAAATATCAAAAAGTAGCAAAATAATAATAAGAGAAAAATGTATCAAATTTAAAGGTTAATCTAATTAAAACTTAATTCTGAGCTGCAGTTTTTATTTTTAAGATTTAATTCACAGACCAAATAATCCCTCAAGATTTCAGAGGAAATAAAAGCAGCCTTCTTAATTTAGAGTTTTATAGCCAAACTTTTTAATTAAACTTATCTCATTAAATTAATTTGATCTCATTTTCACTAAAAAATAAACAGTTTTAACTTTATTTTAATTATTTCTGAATAAATAAGTCAAATATTTGTTTTCTGGATTAAAATCTAAACCTTTTCAGTCGTTTCTGCTGCAGAATCATCACATTTTCCGTCATTCCGGTTCTTGTTGATTCCAACTGCAGGCGGAAACGGGCAGCAGACAGAAAGGGGCGTGGCTTCCGGAGTCCCGCCCACTTCCGGAATGAAATCACCTGGAGAGCAGAGAGGAGGGATGAGGTTTGAATCAGATGTTCCAAGTTTTCCCACAAATGAGGCTGAGAAAACCTGCAGCTCTCACTTGTTCCTGGATTTATTGATTTTCTGATTTTATTTTTTTTTCTGGGAACTTCAGGAATATTTACAGATAAAATTAACAAGTTTTTCTTATTTTTCCTGCTTTTTTGTTTGTTTGTTTTTTGTTTTTTTACTCATATTAAAACTGCAAGAAGTTGGAATTTTGACAATTTTAAATATGAGGCAACCGCAGAAGTTCAGGTGAGTCCTAAAAACTAAAAAACGTTTATTTTCCTGTTTTTCTCCATCTTTAATGAATTTATTCCCCGTTTCTCCTCTCAGAGTCCTGCTCGGGGTTTTCTGGTGTCTCCGGTTTGTTGCTCCCTCAGGTCGGTTTTTCTCCACATTTCCGCAATGTTTTTTTTTTTTTTTTTTACGGGCTTCTTTATTAGAAGCCATCATTTCATGATGCGTTCAAATGCACCTCGTAAAACTATAATTCATCTTAAATTTTCCACAACGTTCAGAATATTTCGAGCGGCACCAATTTTAAATGTTCATCAATCAAATTTGATTAAGAATCTACGGAAGAGGATTAGGGACACTGAGACATGGAAGAATGATGAGTTTAACCTCAGAATTTTAACATTTTCCCTCTAAATCATAAACATTTTAGTTGTTTATGCAACATCTGTTCTTAAAAGTCAAATATACCAAATAAATTTGAGACAGACTTTCAGTTTGGATGAATTTGCATGTTTACAAATCCTATAACGGAGAAGAAAATGATTATGTGATTATTTCTATATATTAACAACAAAATTGACATAAACCAAAGAATGTTTGGTTATTAATTTTGATTTTGACAAATCGAATAAAAATCTTATTAAAGTCAGAATTCTTTTTTTCCAGTGACCCAAATCCTAATAAATCTTTGCCTTTAAACATACGTTTTATCCAAAATAGTGTATTTACTCGTATATTTTCTAGATGTACTTGAACGCATCATGAAGTTTTTGCTCCATGTAATTTGCTGGTCAGAGAAAAGTCTGTAATTTTTCTCTCTCTGTTAAAACAATCAGATATTTTCAGATTCACAGTGTAAATTCAGACGTTTTCTCCTCATTGCTCAGTCTGTGGTTTAACTGGTTTTGAGCCACTTCACCCAGTTTGGCTCCAGTAGCTGCTGGTTTCTCCTCATTTGCACATCAGTCAGATGTAATAGAGGGACTTTGTTCTGAAACAGACATCAGGAAGGTGAGGAACCAACAATGTGGCTGTCAGGGTTTAAATTTCACTGATTTTACCCTGAATCCGAAACATTTTGTCCATAAAATCAGCCGATTACTCAGAGTTTTTATTTTTTACTTGGATGTACAATTATTTACTCAAACCTGCCGTTTTTTTCTTTCAGGGTCTGAAGGAGTCCTCCACTCTTCTTCTTCTACTGCTGCCCCATCTCCCTCCTCTCCTCCTCCGGCGGCCCAGTCCTCCCAGGAGTTTCTGTCCCAGTTTACCCAGGTGAATTCTCCAAACAGCGGCGACCGTAAACACCGAGACGCCAGCGCCGTGCTGCCCTTCATCGGCCTCACCAGCAGTACGCCTCCTCACACACACACACACACACAGATTTCTGTTTTCACAGGAAATTACACATCTCTAATATTCCTGTTTGCAGACAAGCAGGAAAACGTTGCAGGAATTCATAAAAACCAAGTAAAAAAGTGAAAATGTGAAACTGAATCAACGTTTTTGCAGCAGGAAGGAGCGAAACGATTCAGGTTTGAGTGTCTGGATGTTGAGTTTTAGTGTTTCTCTGTTATTTTCAGAGGTTTGCTCAGACTCTCTGGTGTTTACTGGTGTGGAGCGGAGGAGTGCTGCAGGAATGCGCTGCCAGCTGCAGACTCTGGTTTATTTCACCGACACAGAGGAGCTGCAGCAGCTGGACAGCAGATTTCAGACTGAAAACCTGCAGAGACATGAGGAGGATTCGTCTTTATGCTCAAACCCAATAAAACCTCAGATCTGTAAACAAAACGAGGAAAAAGAGACGGAAACAATCAGCTAAACAGAAAAGATTACATGAGAAATCAGTAAAACTTCAGATTCAGATTATTGTTTTCAGTTTTACAGATTATAAACTAGAAAAACTGAAAACTTTTTCTAGATTTTGCTCCTTTTTTATTTACATTTTTAATTTCTTCCTAATATTTAGACATACCTAATATGTAGACAGTGTAAAGGAAAATGGATAGAAACAAGGATTTAATGAATACTTTGCATACAACAGGTAAACACTGCAAAAACACAAAATCTTACCAAGTATTTTTGGTTTAATTTCTAGTGGAAATATTTTAGTTTATTTGCAATAAAATTAACTTAAAAGTAACTTTTCTGCAACATATATAGACTTGTTTTAAGTCATTAATTCCTTTAATATTAATTTTAAAAAGTTCTGGTTCCACTGGCGCTTTTACCTAGCAACGCCAGCCAAGCCCAGCTCAGCTTGTTACCTAGCAACGCAAGCCAAGCCCAGCTCAGCCTGTTACCTAGCAACCCAGCTCCAGTTCCATTGGCAGGTTTTTTAACAAGACATTTTTCTCATGTTATGAGTTATTTTATCTGCCAATAGAAATGGAAAGTTACTGAGTTTACTACGATATTTTCACTACAAACTGGACCAAAAATTCTTGGGAAGATTTTGTGATTTTGCAGGGAAGATGAATGTTTCTCTCTGTTGTCACTGAGGCTGATAGAAACGGAGGATCAGCTTGATGTTTTTAATGTTTTAATGTTTTTAATGTTTTAATGTTTTTAGGTGCTGATCAGAGCCGCAGCTGCTGTAAAAATGGAGGAACCTGCATCCTGGGCAGTTTCTGCGCCTGCCCTCCGTTCTTCACCGGGAGGAGTTGTGAGTACGACACCCGGATCAGGTAAACCAGCTGATGGTCTCCTGGGTTTTCAGCAACATTGACATTATAACCGTTTTGTTCTGATCCACGGTCTGTCGCTGTGGCTTCTTTTGCTGGTTTTTACTGTTTGTGTGTTTGCAGACGATGTGACGTTGTTCCCCACGGTGAGTGGGTCCAGAAAGGCTGCTCCTACTGCCGCTGTTTCTACGGCGTCTTGCATTGCTTCCCTCACGTTTTCCATGAAGATTGTGGTAAGAAAGTTTACACACATAGCAACACGTATTATCTGTTTTTATTTAATATAAAAGTGTTAAAGCTGGGAGTCTGTCGGCTTTGCATTTTGAGACAAGATTCTCCAAAGTTTTATTCTAGTTTTTAATTCTTTTGGTTCCTTGGTGTGGTTCAGGTAATCTCTGAAAGGTTTTGTAATCTCAAAGGTGTGGAAGAGGAATCAACACCCACAGTCGCTGTAAAACCCGCCTTTCACACGTTTCACCCTAAAACAAAAAAACTCCTTCTGGGTGTAAATGGGGCTGAATGAATTTGCCTCACCTTCTCATTTACAGTTCAAGCCTTTTATCCCCCAAAATGTTTCTTATTTAACTCCTTAACAACAAAACCTTAAAACAGAAACACTGATGTGGAGTTTGGGATGATTTTGAAACCCAGAAAAGAAAAAGAAACAAATCTAGTTTGACCGTTGTTGTGAGGTCCCAAAACTTTGTTTCTGAAAGCAAAATGTCAAAAGTGTTAGATGCTGAATTTCCTCCTAAGGGTTTTATTTGTCAACAGAACTAAAATGGACACATTTGGTTCATCAGAACAGATCCCACCAAACTCTGGACCCACCAAACATGCTACTGCTAACGTTAGCATGTATGAGAATTAAAAATATTAAAAGTTATTGTTATTGTGATTTTCAAACTAGAATCTACAAGTGAAACAACTTCTCACACGTGCTAGCTACTAAATTGTTTGCTTCCACCTCCTCTGAGCCCTCAGAGCTGCTAATGTTAGCATTAGCATGTGGGAGCATATTAATAGTCTTAGCTACATATTGTGCTTCAGGTTCATGTTAATAAAATACTCAAGCATGTCTACCTCATGTCTCTTTGCTCTTTCCATACACCAGCTCACCCAGCTCTTTGTTTAAGGCTAACACGTTAGCATGTTTGCCTAACATGCTAACACGTTAGCATGTTTGCCTAACATGCTAACACGTTAGCATGTTAGCCTTAAACAAAACCTTGTTTTAATCTTGATAATTCTGGTCATTTAATGTTTCCAGTTTATTTCTGTATTTTATTGTTAGACTCATTTAAAATGTTTAAGCACAATAATTAAACCAGGTTAACTCAGCTGACAGACAACAGAGTCAGCTAACAGTAGTATTTGCTAGCATTAGCATGTTACTGATAGCATCTATAGCTAATTATTGTAATTTTCTTAAACTCTTTACATTTAAGATTACTGCATCATGTTTTCAGCTAATTGTGTCCCTAGACATTATTTTAAGATTTTTTATTTTTTGACAACTTTGACATTGATGACAAAAATAAAAAAGCCGACCTAAAATGTTTCTAATTCCAAATATGAAATGTTGGGGATTTATACTTTTGCAAAATAGTGACTTGGATTCATGATCAGAAAGAGGAAAAGTCACAAATATTTGTTATGAATAGGTGCAATAAAGGCATAAAACACTTTTGGAAAAGAAATATCTTTAACAAAGTTTCTATGGAACACTATTTGTGGCAAATCTTCTGCACATAGTCATAAGTCACATAATGTTCTGAGTTTTATCCTGAAGATAAATCTTCAACTTGGAGCTAAAAAAACAACTAAAAATCAATCCAACTTTTGATACTTTAATTAAGCTGGTAAAATTTGAAGCTAGCTAGCTAGCTAATCCAACACAGAGCATCACTTACTTCTGTCTTTTTTCCAAAAATAAACGAGCTGCAGAAGTATAGAGTGAAAGCTTTCCTTGTCCTGCCTGGCAGATAAACATGTATCTCTAAGAGCTGCTGAAAGTCGAGATAAATGAAGTTAAGTTTAGAGAAAGTGAAAGAAAAAGATAACAGTTTAAAAATACATTAAATGGCTCTGAAGACATGATATCAACGATGTAAAGTCTTGATTGTTTCGTTTTCTCCCAGATGACTCGGATCAGGAGGTTCGTTGGTATCATTCATCGGCGGTCAGGTTGACTCCTCTCAGCCGTTTCCTGTCTCTGCTGCTGCTACTTCCTGTGCTGCTCATCTTCTGATGTTCATAGGATTTTATTCTCTAATCGGCTCCAAAACGACGTGAATAATAAACTTGATGATGCTGCAGTATTTATTTTAATGAGAAAAAAACCTCCTTCATTTGCTTTTATGTAACTGACTGGACAGAGAAGAGTTCTTCCAAAATAAATCCTGTTTGCCTGGAAGATCTAAATGTACGGAAAAAGATTAGTGCCACAACAAAAAATCTGCGCCCCCCCCCCTTCAGAATTCTGATATTTTCTCAGATTTTACTTTTTACTTACAATTCTCTTTTTTTCCTCAAAATTATAAAATTTTCCTCAAATTCTGACTTTTTCCACCAGAATTTTGACTTTAATCTCAGAAATTTTACTTTTTTTCTCAGTATTTTGACTTTATTCTCAGAAAATGATTTTTTAACCTCAGATTTATAACTGTAATCTCAGAATACTGACTTTATTTTCAGAAATGTGGCTTTTTTCTCAGAATTTTAAACTCGGATTTCTCGTTTGTTTTTTTGACGTTCATCTGACATTAAAGTCAAAATTCTGAGGAAAAAGACACATTTTTTGTTCAGTGGCCCTAATATTCTTCCATATAAATGACATGAAGGAAGCTGTATATAAGATTTTTATGGAAAATGTTTTAAAGTCATTTTTCGTTTTTTCTTTGAAAGAAAAACCTTCCTGTGATTCTTGTTTCAAACTGATCTGATGTGACGTTTTGTGTTTAACCTGGTTTGTTTAATTCAAGCCGGATTCCTGCTGTGATGCTCAGGGTTTCGGTTTGCGGTTCTTCCAGCCTCTGTTATCTGCAGGCATTTCCAGCCGTTTTCTCTCCTGCCTCTTATCTCCACTTTATTGATGAGGTTGGATTTGATTATCTGCTGTTTTCTTATCTAAAACAAACAGGAGCTGCTGCTCTTCAGTCCGTCTGGTTTTCTGCAGAGCCTAAAGAAGAAAATCTAAATAAAGAATCTTTACAGATTTATTTCAATTATTTAACCATAAAATTCAATGTGTTGTTTTGGTTCATGGGGTAAAGTGGGAAAGTTGTAAATTGGAATGAAAATGATGGAAAATAATAAAAATCTGCATGAAAGTGTTTTTAATCTCCTTTAATGAGACACTAAATAAAATCCAGAGCATCCAGTTGTTAGAAGTCAGTGGGGCTTATTAAAGCAGAGACCATCTGTTAGTTTTAGTTTCATTTACTTCGTCTGCTCTGCAGCAATAAGAAGATTGTGTGTTTTAATGCGTCTATTTTCTTTAAACTGAATGTCATCTGTAAACCTAAATGTTCCTATCAGCTCTTATTTAATCTGCATCAATATTTTTTGGTTTCAAAGAACACAAAGCTGCTAAATTGGCTAACAGCTAAGCTAATTTTCTGATTAGTCTTTCAGCAAATTTTGAAAACTTTTAGCACACTTAGTTTCCCCTAAATAAATTCTAAAGAGTGAGTTTTTCTGACTATTTGTGAACTCAGGGTAATTTTAGTCATAAACTTGAAATCTGAGTTAAAGTTTTGGTTACTGACTGCTAAGAATCTATTTATATTCATGCTCTTATTTTGAAGGGGGTGAAAACTGTTTACTGACTTTTTCCTGAATCAATATCTGAAACAACATGAAGTAAAACAACCAGTAGAGAAGATATGAACATAAATACAACATATAAGGTCATTAATGAACATTAAATTAAATTGGTGCTCAAACTTTGCAGTGTTTCAAGAGCAGAAGTTAATTGAAGTTTTAATTGAAGTTAGCAGTTTAGCATTAGCATCTGCTCAACACCATGTTATATCCTTAGTTTTTGCTTAATACCTTGTTGGTGTAGCAGTAGTTTAGCCTGAGTGTAACTTATGGTTAGTGCTTTGGGGTTAACAGCTAATTTTATCAAGCCCTTATTTCCACCAAAATAAAATCCAAAACATTTCGACTTTCCTCTGTAAAGTCTCGTTTGACTTTAATCTCAACTTAAAACATCCAATCCAGGAGTTTTCCTTCTGCAGAGGAACAAGAAAACTCTAATATGAGGAGATTATCAGGAAGGTTTTCACTCTTAATCCCAGAGTAACCAGAGTGTAATCTCCCCATTGTTACCCAGCCGACTCCTCGTAACAAGTTAATTAAAAACGCTTCGCCGTCTGAGCAGAAGAAGTCAAAGAAAAGCTGTTAATGTGATTTTAGTTTCAGTTTGTCAGCAGGTCAGACGTCCAGCAGAGAAACTCAGAAACCAGCAGAGAGAAAAAGCTGCAGCAGATCAGGATGGATTTAAAACGGATTAATGATGTGAATGAGGAGGAGGAGGAGGAGGAGAGCCAAACGACTCCCTGCCATGATGACGCCTCCCTTTGACAGAAAAACTGCTCAGCAAATATCAGATTTTTCCTGTCAAAGAAAATAAAATGAAGAGATAAATGTGATAAAAATATTTTTTCATGTTTTTTCCACTGGTCAGAAAATGCAGGTTTCCAACAAATATGAAACTGAACTGAATCGTTTTTAGCCTTAATGAGTTTTAGTTTGTTTTCTATTGTGTGTAAATTTGAAAAGCTTTGCAGTTTTAAAAATTGTCAGAAGCAAAATTATTTAAAAAACTACATTGGTACTCGGGATTTACTGAATTTAATATAAATGAGGTACGAAAAACTTAAAATAATTCATTTAGGTCAAAATGCTGAGATCTGAAAATAAAAATCTCAAAAATACACAGACTGGCCATGTGTTTCCATAGATTATGTAAAAATATCTAAAAGTGTAAAAAATAAATAAATAAATCAGAAAACAGACCTGAAACTAATTTTAACCCAACTTTTATTCTAAATCTGAAAAGTGAGGCAAGCATTTCTGTTCAGTTCCTGAGTCACAGCTGCAATGCCTGCTGGGAAAAAACCCAAAAAGAGTCTCCATAAAAAGCAGGAACCTTTAACTGGGAAAGTTAATATTTATTAACCCTTTAACTGAAATTATAAGGAGTTCAGGCCCTTTGAGTCAAACTGCAGCTCTCTGCTGACATCTACAGGCCAGTCCCAGAATTAAAGACCCAGAATAACCTCCATTATTCTCCATGCAGTACTTTGACTAGACCGACCACATTGGACCATTATATAAACTCAGTTCACTGGGGGGAACAAAAACCCTTGGAAACTGGTTAAAAACATTACCTACAGACTTTCAGCCAAGATTCGTCATTTTCTGAAACAAATCCGTTTTAAACCGACAGCAGGAGGTTCAGCTGCTCATCATCACCTCTAACTGGTTCTCCTCTCAAACTCTCTGCTCACTGACATCAGGCCTTTGTTTGGGATGCAGTTCTTCACGTATCGCCACATAAAATTATTTTCTAAGTAATTCAGCTTTAAAAACACGACGACAGTTTTAACATTATGATTCATGTAACTGATAATAATTGATCGATCTGAATGTTTCGTTTTGCTCAGTAACGTTGAAGTTCATTATAAAGTGTGGAAATGTGCTGAATAAATAAAGTTCACTTTGCATGTTAGAAAATTTTAACTACACTTCAGAACTTTAAAATAGTTGAATATTGTTTATTTCAAGTAACTCATAATATGGATTTGAGTTTTAAATGTAGAAACAAATAAAATGTTTGAGTTTTAACAGATTTATATCAGTACATTTTATTCAATCTTTTCTTGTTCCACTATTAAACATTCAGATGTTTCCATTTAATCTGAAGTTCCAGGTTTGCTGATCTCATTTCTGTGATCAGTTTTTTAACTTTTGGTTTGTTGGTTAATTGGGCCTTTGGAGGAACTGAGCAGCTTTCTGCTCTCGCTGTCTTCTCTCCTCTGGCGCTGCTGGTTCTGGTTCTGGTTCCTCAGGTGGAGGCGCAGCAGCCACTGGTCCCTGAGCCTGAAGAGAAACAGCAAAACGGAGGTTCAGCTCAGGTCCAGACCAAGAGATGTGGCAGGAAAATCAAGTATCAGACCATCTTCTGTGTCAGATGAGTGGAGAATTATTCAAAATGAAGAAGGTAAGTTAGAAACACTTCCACTAATTCACTAATTAATTTTCTGAGTGTTTTGGCTAACTTCAAAAACATTTAGTGCTTTAGCTTGCATAAGTAGGTAAAGACAAATATGTTGTAACTAAATTAACTTGGTTTAATTTAGCTCTTTAGAGCTTTACCTTTCTGCTACATTAGTTCTGCTAATGCTAACTGCCTAGCTAATGCTAATGCTAACTGTTTAGCATTAGCAGAACTAATGGTTAAGATTAGTGCTGTAGGGTTAGCTCAACTAACTTTTTAGCTGCAGCTTCAGTTGTGGAAATGTGGCGTTAAAAAGAGAAATATGATTTAAAAATGTTCCTTGTTGCAGAAATTAAAAGTAAACTCAACATTAATGTGAACTTTGAACTTAGTTTCTTCTCCTGGTTCTATTTCAGACTGAAGAAATGCTGATTTTCATTAATGAGACAATCTGATGTTTGATATTTAACGTTTTTAAGTCTGTCAGATGCCCATCAATCAGGTCACATCCTGTATGAGCAGAAAACCTGGAGATTTTTTATCGTTTTTGTAAAATTTCTAGTAAATCCTAGTTTTGTTCTGACCAATTCTTAGGGACATTTTGACTTTTTTCCACAAATGTAATTTTTTTAAAGTGTTTTTCACAAAATATCCACCATATGTCTGGAAAATGTACTCCTTTTTGTCTGTTCTGGTCCTGCAGCGTTGATCCTCTGTCACTGCAGGAGGATCTCATGTTGTGGGAAGAGGAAAGCCGTGTTGGCTGAAGGATTAATTAAGTGATTCTCTTGCTGATCTCCGGGATTCAAACCTGTGACTGCGCTGCCTCTAATCAACATTCTCAGGCAACGACGCGATGACAGACAAACAAGCTGCAAACACAACCAAGGCGTTTAATGAACTCATTCATCTCTGGCTCCCTCGGTAATAAAGTTTATTTTTAGCATGACAGTTTGTCCACACAGCTTTGTTCACCTGCCAGAACTTTATTTTATTTTTTTAAGGAGATACGTACATAATTTTAGTAGAAATTAAACCAAAGTTCAGAGTCAGTGAGAGAAATTTAAATCCATCCCATAAATCCATAGTTATTAACAACTTAATAACAATAAATGAGGCTTAACAAAACTTTTGTGCAATCTATGCAAATAAGTGTTATGTTTTTTAAAATTATTGTTTTTATTTCAGG